CAAGGATCTCATTCAGATTCGACGGAGAAATTAAAACCTTTACAGACAAGCAAAAGCTAAGAGGATTCAGCACAACCAAACCAGCTTTACAACAAATGCTAAAGGAACTTATCTAGGCAGGACACACAAGAGAAGGAAAAGACCTACAATAACAAACCCAAAACAATTAAGAAAATGGTAATAGGAATGTACATATTGATAATCACCTTAAATGTAAATGCTCCAGCCAAAAGACATAGACTGGCTGAATGGATACTAAAACAAGACCTATATATATATGCGGTCTACAAGAGACCCACTTCTGACCTAGGGACACATACAGACTGAATGTGAGGGGATGGAAAAAGATATTCCATACAAATGGAAATCAGAAGAAAGCTGTTAGCAATTCTTATATCAGACAAAATAGACTTTAAAATAAAGACTATTACAAGAGACAAAGAAGGACACTACATAGGGATCAAGTGATCAATCCAAGAAGATACAACAATTGTAAATATCTATGCACCCAACATAGGAGCACCTCAATACATAAGGCAAATGCTACAGCCATAAAAGGGGAAATCAACAGTAACGCAATCATAGTAGGGGACTTCAACACCCCACTTTCACCAGTGGACATATCATCCAAAATGAAAAGAAATGAGGAAACACAAGCTTTACATGACACATTAAACAAAATGGACTTAATTAATATTGATAGGACATTCCATCCAAAAACAACAGAATACACTTTCTTCTCAAGTGCTCATGGAACATTCTCCAGGATAGATCACATCTTGGGTCACAAATCAAGCCTCAGTAAATTTAAGAAAATTGAAATCATATCAAGCATCTTTTCTCACCACAATGCTATGAGATTAGAAATGAATTACAGGGAAAAAAACATAAAAAATGCAAACACACGGAGGCTAAACAATACGTTACTAAATAACCAAGATATCACTGAAGAAATCAAAGAGGAAATCAAAAAATACCTAGAGAAAAATGACAATGAAAACATGACGATCCAAAACCTATGGGATGCAGCAAAAGCAGGTCTAAGAGGGAAGTTTATAGCAATACAATCCTACCTCAAGAAACAAGAAAAATTTCAAATAAACAACCTAACCTTACACCTAAAGCAATTAGAGAAAGAACAAAAAAGTCCCAAAGTTGGCAGAAGGAAAGAAATCATAAAGATCAGATCAGAAATAAATGAAAAAGAAATGAAGGAAACAGTAGCAAAGATCAGTAAAACTAAAAGCTGGTCCTTTGAGAAGATAAACAAAATTGATAAACCATCAGCCAGACTCATCAAGACAAAAAGGGAGAAGACTCAAATCAATAGAATCAGAAATGAAACAGGAGAAGTAACAGCTGACACTGCAGAAATACAAAGGATCATGAGGTTATTACAAGGAACTATATGCCAACAAAATGGAAAACCTGGAAGAAATGGACAAATTCTTAGAAAAGCACAACCTTCTAAGACTGAACCAGGAAGAAATAGCAAATATAAACAGACCAATCACAAACACTGAAATTGAAACTATGATTAAAAATCTTCCAACACACAAAAGTACAGGACCAGATGGCTTCACAGGCAAATTCTATCAAACGTTTAGAGAAAAGCCAACACCAATCCTTCTCAACTCTTCCAAAATATAGCAGAGGGAGGAACACTCCCAAACTCATTCTATGAGGCCACCCTCACACTGATACCAAAACCAGACAAAGATGTCACAAAGAAAGAAAACTACAGGCCAGTATCACTGATGAACATAGATGCAAAAGTTCTCAACAAAATACTAGCAAACAGAATCCAACAGCACATTAAAAGGGTCATACACCAATGATCAAGTGAGATTTATCCCAGGAATTCAAGGATTCTTCAATATATGCAAATCAATCAATGTGATACACCATATTAACAAATTGAAGGATAAAACCCATATGATAATCTCAATGGATGCAGAAAAAGCTTTTGACAAAATTCAACACCGATTTATGATAAAAACTCTCTAGAAAGTAGGCATAGAGGGAACTTACCTCAACATAATAAAGGCCATATATGAAAAACCCAAAGCCAACATCGTTCTCAGTGGTGGAAAACTGAAACCATTTCCACTAAGATCAGGAACAAGACAAGGTTGCCCACTCTCACCACTATTATTCAACATAGTTTTGGAAGTTTTAGCCACAGCAGTCAGAGAATAATAAGAAATAAAAGGAATACAAATCGGGAAAGAAGTAAAGCTGTCACTGTTTGCAGATGACATGATACTATACATAGAGAATCCTAAAGATGCTACCAGAAAACTACTAGAGCTAATCAATGAATTTGGTAAAGTAGCAGGATACAAAATTAATGCACAGAAATCTCTTGCACTCCTATACACTAATGATGAAAAATCTGCAAGAGAAATTAAGGAAACAGTCCCATTTACCACTGCAACAAAAAGAATAAAATACCAAGGAATAAATCTACCTAAGGAGACAAAAGACCTGTATGCAGAAAACGATAAGACACTGATGAAACAAATTAAAGATGATACAAATAGATGGAGAGATATACCATGTTCTTGGACTGGAGAATCAACATTGTGAAAATGACTATACTCCTCAAAGCAATCTACAGATTCAGTGCAATCCCTATCAAACTACCACTGGCATTTTTCACAGAACTAGAACAAAAAATTTCACAATCTGTATGGAAACAAAAAAGACCCCGAATAGCTAAAGGAATCTTTTGAAAGAAAAACGAAGCTGTAGGAATCAGGCTCCCTGAGTTCAGACTATACTACAAAGCTGCAGTAATCAAGACAGTATGGTACTGGCACAAAAACAGAAATATCAATCAGTGGAACAGGATAGAAAGCCCAGAGATACACCCACACGCATATGGTCACCTTTCCTTTGATAAAGAAGGCAAGAATATACAATGGAGAAAAGACAGCCTCTTCAATAAGTGGTGCTGGGAAAACTGGACACCTACATGTAAAAGAATGAAATTAGAACACTCCCTAACACCATGCACTCCCTAACACCATACACTCCCTAACACCATACACCATGGATTAAAGACCTAAATGTAAGTCCAGACACCATAAAACTCTTAGAAGAAACCATAGGCAGAACACTCTATGACATAAATCACAGCAAGATCCTTTTTGACCCACTTCTTAGAGAAATAGAAATAAAAACAAAAATAAACAAATGGGACCTGATGAAACTTAAAAGCTTTTGCACAGCGAAGGAAATCATAAACAAGACAAAAAGACAGAATGGGAGAAAATATTTGCAAACAAAGCCACTGACAAAGGATTAATGTCCAAAATATACAAGCAGCTCATGCAGTTCAATATCAGAAAACCCAAACAACCCAATCCAAAAATGGGCAGAGGACCTAAATAGACATTTCTCCAAAGAAGATATACAGATTTCCAACAAACACATGAAAGGATGCTCAACATCAATAATCATTAGAGAAATGAAAATCAAAACTACAATGAGGTATCACCTCATACCAGTCAGAATGGCCATCATCAAAAAGTCTACAAACAGTAAATGCTGGAGAGGGTGTGGAGAAAAGGGCACCCTCTTGCACTGTTGGTGGGAATGTAAATTAATACAGCCACTATGGAGAACAGTATGGAGGTTCCTTAAAAAACTAAAAACAGAAGTACCATATGACCCAGCAATCCCACTACTGGGCATATACCCTGAGAAAACCATAATTCAAAAAGAGATATAAACCACAATGTTCATTGCAGCACTATTTACAATAGCCAGAACATGGAAGCAACCTAAGTGTCCATCGACAGATGAATGGATAAAGAAGAGGTGGCACATATATACAATGGAATATTACTCAGCCATAAAAAGAAACGAAATTTAGTTATTTATAGTGAAGTGGATGGACCTAGAGTGAGTCATACAGAGTGAAGTAAGTCAGAAGGAGAAAGACAAATACCGTATGCTAACACATACATATGGAATTGAAAAAAAAAAAGGAATAAAGACACAGACGTAGGGAATGGAGTTGAGGACACGGGGAGGGGGAAGGGTAAGCTGGGACGAAGTGAGAGAGCGGCATGGACGTATATACACCACCAAACGTAAAATATGCAGCTAGTGGGAAGCAGCCGCATAGCACAGGGAGATCAGCTCAGGGCTTTGTGACCACCTAGAGGGGTGGGATAGGGAGGGTGGGAGGGAGGCCCAAGAGCAGGGGATATGGGGATATAGGTATACGTATAGCTGATTCACTTTTTTATACGGCGGAAACTAACACACCATTGTAAAGCAATTGTAGTCCAATAAAGATGTTAAGAAAAAAATCACTCTTGAAAATCCCTTTAATTCCCATAAAATGCAGTTCTCCCTGTCTCAAGAAGTCCAGCATTACTGTTCTTTTTCAAGCTTTAACACTGATACACAGATTGCTACTTCTTCAGCTAAGTCCCCTGGTTGTCTGCTTGCATTTGGAGGCTGTGTGCCTGAGAAATGCATGCAGAGGTGCATTCAGTGCAGCCAGATAATCCAAAGTACAAGAAACACAGGGGGTAACTAAGTCTAACCCAGGAAACAATAGATTTCCTTTCTTGTCTCATGCTCTCACTGGGTCATACATATGCCCAGGAATGGAATGGGGGAGATGGGATTTTCCACATTAATTTAATTGTTCTCTTAATCATTTACTTAATTATCTTCCTTTTTGGTTGAGTGAGTATAGCTGAATTTGTCTAAATAAAGTTAAAGTCACAATGTTCAATTCCTCTGCATAGTCAACCGGATGCACAGTTCTTGGCCACTATGCTAATCTCACTCTACCACTGGCCAGGCACTGGGTGAGGAGATGGCAGAAAACCATGGTGAACATTAGGGTATAGTGGACCTTTTGGTTCCGGATCAGAAAATTGAGAGCAAATCACCAATTCTGGGCTTTTCACAGGTGTATCAGGTGAATACAGTAGTTTCCATTTTGATAATTTCTCTCTCTCTGTTTTTCTCAACAGGCTGGTCCATTCAGGTCCAGGGAAAGGATCACCCCAGGCTGGTGTAGATCTGTCCTTTGCAACACGAACTGGTACCAGGCAGGGTATTGAAACGCATCTCTTCAGGGCTGAGATCAGCAGGGACCTCTCACACTGGACAAGGAGCATAGTACAGGGGTGCCATAACTCAGTTGAACTCACTATTGAAGTCACCACAGGTGAGCATTGTTGGCTTTCGTTTTGTGATGTCACATCCTTATGGCAAGAAGGCACCCTCTACTCCACCACAGCCTCAGAATTGTTTCCATTACTGGCCATTTGGGGTACTTAAAATTCCAGAGGTAAATGTAAAATTCTTCTAAATAAAGGCACTGAATGCCCTACTAAAATGGAATCTAGGGGTCTGATTGTGAAAAGCCTTATCTTCATTCAGGAAAAGTGGGTAACTTGGATAGTCAGATGTCATTTCTACCATGGTAGACAGTGCAAATCTAGAACATTTCCATCATAGTAGAAAGCCCTGATGGTATCTTCTCTGGATGAACAGGATTTTCTCACAAGACCTCTAAGGTTGTGAAATAAATGAAATAGAAACCAAGAAAACAGTGCCAAAGATCAATGAAATTAAAAGCTGGTTCTTTGAAACGATAAACAAAATTGATCAACCTTTAGCCAGACTCATCAAGAAAAAAAGGGAGAGGACTCAAATCTATAAAATTAGAAATGAAAAAGAAATTACAACTGACACCGCAGAAATACAAAGGATCATAAGACACTACTACAAACAACTATATGCTAATAAAATGGAGAACCTGGAAGAAATGGACAAATTCTTAGAAAGGTACAACCTTCTAGGACTGAACCAAGAAGAAATAGAAAATATGAACAGACCAATCACAAGTAATAAAATTGAAACTGTGATTAAAAATCTTCCAACAAACAAAAGTCCAGGACCAGATGACTTCACGGGAAAATTCTATCAAACATTTAGAGAAAAGCTAACACCTATCCTTCTCAAATTGAACACTCCCAAGCTCATTTCACAAGGCCACCATCACCCTGATACCAAAACCAGACAAAGATACTACAATAAAAGAAAATTACACACCAATATCACTGTTGAACATAGACACAAATATCCTCAACAAAATACTAGCAAACAGAATCCAGCAACACATTAAAAGGATCATACACCAAGATCAAACGGGATTTATCCCAGGGAGGCAAGGATTCTTCAATATATGCAAATCAATCAATGCGATACACCATATTAACAAAATGACGAATAAAAACCATATGATCATCTCAATAGATGGAGAAAAACTTCTGACAAAATTCAACACCCACTGATGATTAAAAACTCTCCAGAAAGTGGGCATAGGGAGAACCTACCTCAACATATGGCCTCAAAGGCCATATACGACAAACCCATAGCAAACATCATTCTCAATGGCGAAAAACTGAAAGCATTTCCTCTAAGATCAGGAACAAGACAAGGATATCCATTCTCACCACTTTTATTCAACACAGCTTTGGAAGTCCTAGTCACAGCAATCAGAGAAGAAAAAGAAATAAAAGGAATACAAATTGGAAAAGAAGAAGTAAAACTGCCACTGTTTGCAGATGACATGATACTATACACAGAGAATCCTAAAGATGCCACCAGAAAACTACTAGAGCTAAGCAATGAATTTGGAAAAGTTGCAGGATACAAGATTAATGCACAGAAATCTCTTGCATTCCTACACACTAGCAAAGAAAGATCAAAAAGAGAAATTAAGGAAACACTCCCATTTACCACTGCAACAAAAAGAATAAAATACCTAGGAATAAACCTACCTAAGGAGGCAAAAGACCTGTACTCAGAAAACTATAAGATACTGATGAAAGAAATCAAAAACAACACAAACAGATGGAGAGATATACCATGTTCTTGGACTGGAAGAATCAACATTGTGAAAATGACTATACTACCCAAAGCAATCTACAGATTCAATGCAATCCCTATCAAACTACCAATGGCATTTTTCACAGAACTAGAACAAAAAATCTTAAAATTTGTATGGAAACACAAAAGACCCCGAATAGCCAAAGCAATCTTGAGAAAGAAAAATGGAGCTGGAAGAATCAGACTCCCTGACTTCAGACTCTACTACAAAGCTACAGTAATCAAGACAGTATGGTACAGACATAAAAACAAATATCGATCAATGGAACAGGATAGAAAGCCCAGAGATAAACCCACACACCTATGGTCACCTAATGTATGACGAAGGAGGCAAGAATATACAATAGAGAAAAGACAGCCTCTCCAATAAGTGGTGCTCAGAAAACTGGACAGCTACATGTAAAAGAATGAAATTAGAACACTCCCTAACACCATACACAAAAATGAACTTAAAATGGTTTAAAGACCTAAATGTAAGTCCAGACACTATAAAACTCTTAGAGGAAAACATAGGCAGAACACTCTCTGACATAAATTGCAGCAAGATCTTTTTTGATCCACCTCTTAGAGTAATGAAAATAAAAACAAAAACAAACAAATGAGACCTAATTAAGCTTAAAAGCTTTTGCACAGCAAAGGAAACCATAAGCAAGACGAGACGACAACCCTCAGAATGGGAGAAAATAATTTGCAAATGAAGCAACTGACAAGGGATTAATCTCCAGTATATGCAAACAGCTCATGCAGCTCAATATCAAAAAAACAAAGAACCCAATCAAACAATGGGTGGCAGACCTAAACAGACTTTTCTCCAAAGAAGACAGATGGCCAAGAGGCACATGAAAAGATGCTCAATATCACTAATTATTAGAGAAATGCAAATTAAAACTACAATGAGTTAGCACCTCACACCAGTCAGAATGGCCATCATCGAAAAATCTACAAGCAGTAAATGCTGGAGAGGGTGTGGATAAAAGGGAACCCACTTGCACTGTTGGTAGGAATGTAAATTGATACAGACACTATGGAGAACAGTATGGAGGTTCCTTAAAAACTAAAAATAGAACTATCACATGACCCAGCAATCCCATTCCTGGGCATATACCCTGAGAAAATTGTAATTCCAAAAGATATATGCACCCCAATGTTCATAGCAGCACTATTTACAATAGCCAGGACATAGACGCAACCTAAATGTTCATCAACAGAGGTATGGATAAAGAAGATGTGACACATATATACAATGGAATATTACTCAGCCATAAAAGGGAACGAAATTGTGCCATTTACAGTGACATGGATGGACCTAGAAACTGTCATACAGAGTGAATTAAGTCAGAAAGAGAAAAACAAATATCGTATATTAATGCGTGTATGTGGAATTTAGGAAAATGGTTCAGATGAACCTATTTGCAAAGCAGAAATAGAGACACAGACATAGAGAACAAAAGTATGGACACCAAGTTCGGGGGTGGGATGGATTGGGAGATTGCGACTGACGTATGTACACTAGTGTGTATGAAGTAGATGGCTGGTGAGGGCCTACTGTATAGCATGGGGCGGGGGGAAAGATGGTAAAATCTGTTTGAAGGACATATATTAAGTTAACCTTAAAAATGCACTCCAATATACATTAGATGCAGACAAATACTGTTTGACTCCACTTACACGAGGTGTGTAGAACAGCCAAATTCATAGAGTCAGAAAGTACATTGGTAGATGCCAGGGGCTGGGAGGTGGGCAGGGGAGGGGGAATGGGGAGTTAGTGTTTAATGGGGACAGAGTTTCCATTTAGGAAGGTGAAAAATTTGAGAGATGGATGATGGTGAGAATTGCACAACAATGTGAATGTACTTAGTGCCACTGAACTGGTTAAATAGTTAAATATGGTTAAAATAGTATATGGTTAAATATGGTTAAAATAGTATGTTTATATTATGTAACTTTTACAATAAAAAAAATTCTTTTAAAAAGAATTAATTAAGTGGAATATAAATCCTTTCTCCATCTCTGCTCTGAAGCAGAACTATTCCTCTATCCTAAACGAATATCTGTCCCTTGAGGTGGCTGAATTAGGTGTTTCACCCAGGGAGGGATGCCATATAAAAACAAGACATTTTGTGTTTACTTTAGGTTAAAGAAAATTAAGTTGGCCTTAAAAAAAAAAAAAAAAAAGACCTCTTAGGTACAGTGTTTCCAAGCTTTAGTCACACTGAAAACAACAACAACAAAAACAGTTTTTTAGTTGTACCCTTAGAAGCCTCCGATTGATGATGCCTATCCCTAGAGATTGTGATGCAGCAGTTCTGGGGCGGGGCCTGAGAATTTGCATCTAGTATGATACCAGGCAGTGCTGGTGCTGCTGGTCCGTGGACCACTCTGTGTGCAGTACTGCACTAGGGTGCAACTTCCTCCAGCACCCAGGAGGATTCTAAAAGATGGGACCCACGTCAACATGTAGTAGGGTTTCTCCACATTTCCTTTACTGGTGCAAACATGAAAAACCAGATGTTTTGTAGAATTTCTGCTGCAGCATCTCTGAGATAATCACTCTTTTAAAAATTATCCTGAAACTAGTTAGTACCCCCCAATATTTTCCAACATTGTTGAAAATGTCTCTCAGAGTGTCACTGAAGTTTTTATTTTTGACGCCTACTCTATATGGCACGAAAAACTAGAGTTTCAAACCTCAGAGTTGGAAAAGGCTTCAAGTCACCTGAAAACTAAATTTAATGAAGTTATACGTGTAATTGCAGAGAAGTCCAGACTCCTTGCAACAACTTCTGGGGTGTTCTAGAAAAGAATGAAGATGGCCAAAGGGGTTTGGTTTAGTTTACATTCCACAAATTTCATAAAATCCTTCTCTCAGTAAGCTGAAATCTACTTTGACAGGAAAACAATGAGGCTGTTAATAGACCAGCCAAAGGAGAATAACAAAGAATTGTGTGGACTGAGCTAGCTAGGTGGTGGGAGAGAAGAAATTATGGAAATGGCCAAAGGTGCAGCCCAGTTTCAAATGGAAAGATGCCTGCAGAGAGTTGTGGGGAGGGGCTTATGTTTTAGTCAGAGCTTCAATTAACTTGATAATGGGTTCAATTTATCCTGTGTAGATTAAGAACATCTTCAGATAACTGATTACATTATATAAAGGCCACGAATACCACTTTAGGTCAATTAAAATTAAAAGTAACCACAGTCAATTAATTCAAACCATCTAGTGGCACAGCTTTCAAATTCAAACATAGAGGAAGGGGGAAAAAACATGTTTAGAGCTCAGGTGCCCACATATTCTGCAGATGTTAGAAGTGAAAACTTTCAAAAATGAGGATTCGAGATGGGAAGTCATAACTACATCTATGCCGTGTCTATGTTATGTTTTGGTCGTCCTTGAACTGGATGGGTGGCAGGGGTCTAGGGCCCTTCTGAAAGGATAACTTAAGACTTGCCAAGTGGCTCCTCCCAGGACTCATTAGAGAATGCACCTTTGGAAAATATCAACCCTTTGTTACAAGTTGAAAGATGGCTGCAGTCAGTCGAAGGAAGGGGTATATGTTTTAACCAATTAAAAGCCACCTCATTCTGTGGGCAGACAGACACTCTGTTTCTTCCCCCAAACTCTGAGGGGCTCCCCCCAGTTATTAGTCTGAGAGCCTCTTTGCCAAGATCCCTCCCCACATGCCTCTGTGTCCTGAGCACCAGCGTGTGAGAAGGCTGTACAAGACAGACTGGAAGGAAATAACTTGAAGTTTGAAATCTAAACCACTGGGTTGTGACATGTTCACCTCTCTGAGCTTTTTTGCTTTTATCATCTGTAATATTAAGCTAAGGTCCTGCTTCTAAAGTGTGCTGAGGTGAAGTTCAGTTTGGTTTATAAAGCTGAACTGAGCTAAAGTTGGTAGAGAGTAATCAATACTGCCTATGTCCTCCTATCCCCAAAGAGCTTTCAGATGTATATGAAGGCCAGAGCCAACTGACTTGCCAGGGCCTGTTAAATGTGGTGTTTTGTGAGGCAAAAAAATCCAATCTGATACTTTTGCTTTTTTTTTTTTTTTTTTGGCCGAGCGGCTTGCGAGATCTTACTTCCCCCACCAGGGATCGAACCGGGGGGCTGGCAGTGAAAGTGCCAAGTCCTAACCACTGGACCGCCAGGGAATTCCCTCCAGAACTTTTTGATTAAGGGTTTTAAACACTCACAAGTCTTCCTAATGGGAACTTGGAATCAGGTGGCAGTCCCCCTGTCCAGCTCATAATCTGAGAGCGCTGGTCTCTTTTCCTAAACGCAAGGTGGACCACAGATAAATGCTGGCACCTAACCTGATCAGAAGGTTTTACTTTTGTTCCGTTGGATCAGAGGGCACCTTGTGGACACCAGCTGAGGTTCCTGAATACCACACTGGACAGAGGGAGGAAACAGCATCCTTCACCGAAGGTGCCACACATGACATCAATCTACAGCAGCAGCTTTTCCAGGACCCAAGATGATCAGATCATCAGGGAAACTCAAAAAGCACTTCTTTCTGTTTATAAAATGAGCTTTATTCAACTTTTTTAAAATTAAAAATCAGGGTTTTTTTCACTACTCACTCCCGACTTCTTAACATGTGTTTTTGTTAACTTGGGTAATGTCACTGGGGGATTGCTTGCTTCTTTCACCAGGTGGTAGACATGGCATTGGTTGATCGATTGATTGCCTGATTGTGTGTGTGTTGACGATGATCAGAGGTAGCTTACTCTAAATCAAATGTCAGTTTTTTCCAGCTTGATACAAGGCCATTGGAACACCTGTCTCCCTACATACATGTTGTCAGATGGTCATATAAGGGCTAGAGCCCAGAAAAATTCAGTAAATCCCAGCAAAAGGAATTTCTTTCAGTTTATTTCCCTTAGTTTCACAGGGCAAGTTAAATTACAATATCACAATCAATCTAAGGAGAATATTTTCATGCATGATTATTAATTTTTAACGTTAGAAAGAAGTTGGTGGCTGGGCCCTGGGTTTGGGGAGACTAGAAGCTTAAGTGCCTGGGAAAATGGATGGACTTCCATTGTTCATACTTCTGTCTCCATCTATCTCTCTCAGCTTGCACCTATAAAAACCAGGAGTGCCGGTTGACCATACATTATGAGAATGGATTTTCTATTACCACTGAACCACAGAAGGGTGTCTTTCCCAAGACAATCATACAGGCTCCTTATGAAAAGCTGAAAATGTCTTCAGATGATGGAATCAGGATGCTGTATTTAGATTTCGGAGGCAAAGATGGAGAGCTTGTAAGTGCACTTTTCTTTAGACAGTGTGGTTTCGTATATTTTGTGTTGCAGTATACCCATTATGGCCTGCAAACATAACGCTGCCTGTACTTATTTAGCATTTGACTATTTACAAAGTACTTATAGGTTCATGTCTTAATTGAACCTTTAAAAACAGTGAGGGGATCCAATTTTTTCACAGTTCTTTACTTTGGTCTCATTTTCCATGGGAATATTACAGAAATATTTGAATCAAGGAAAGGATCCTTCACAAAGTCAGCATTAAATTCTTTTCAAAGAGGGTCCCACCAGCTTTAAGATATACCATTCATTGTTTAAAAGTATCAAGCATCTGATCTAACCTGGGCATTGTGCTAGGTGTCAGGGATGTAGGGATGTCAAACACCAGTCCTGGCAACCTGGGGGGTCTCAAAGGAGCAGAAAGCATGAAGAGTACAGACGGGGAGGGGGCGGGAAGGGGCAGAGTGGAGGGGGCAGTGAGGAAACCCAGCAAAACTGGTCAACTACCTGAATGGAGAGAGGGCCAGACAAGGACCCAGAAGTTTTGAGCTTATATCAAAGTGTCCAACAAGCTCAGCAAGTTTGTCAGTTAACATAACATTTGTACTTCTCATGTCATTGCAAATTGCCCATGTATTTAAAATCATGATTTCCTGTGATCATTACGGCCTACCATAGTGAAAAAATATGTTACTCTAGTTCCACTGAAGGGTGAAAGTGGCACATTCTTCTACTTTCTAGCAAGTATAGTTCTCAAGAAGACATAGCATCTCATTTAAGCTGTGCAATGTAGAACTTCAAACAGGACCTTGATTTGGAACAACTAGTCTCTGTCTAGGTCCTTCCTAGTCAACAAATATCTGTTGACTCACACTTGGTAACGGGGACAGGGGATATATAAAATGCAGAGATAAACCTCAATTTTAAAGATCTAGTCATTTTAACTCAGCTACTAGCCTTGCACGATTCTGCCTCTCCCTACTCCCGTCTCTCTGAAGGAAAGGGCCAGGGCCACACTTGAAAGGGCATAGGAGCCTGAAACCTCAAAGTTTCAGCACCACTGTCCTAGATCATGCCAATACTACTAGCCCCAGTGCAGTACCAGGTTTCTTCCTATGGGTGTCACAGGGGTCATGATGAAGTTAGTGCCCCGTGGCTGACAGGTGATCTGAACTTACTTTCTGAGAACAATTTCCAGCCAGTCATTTTTCTAACCTTTAAAATGGATCCGCAGAATTTTATAGAATTCTGTTGTTTATCTGTGTGTTCAATCAGTAAATTCAGCCTGAAGCACCAGTTTGGAAAGAAGAAAGTGGCTGGAAAGTCCATTTTGCTGACAACGCTTCTGGTTCAGTTGCTGCTCTGTCCATCATCCAGCTGTGCACTTTTTCCTAAGGGTGACTACTCCCTAGCAGCAGGGGAAAGAACAAGCAGCAGTCTGTCCTGTTTTATCCGTGGCTTGAAAATTCAAGGCTATTTTTGCCCATGAGGAAAAAATCACTTGTGTCTAAATTTCAGCCTTTCTGCCTGTAATTACAGCCTGACTTGACAGACTTAGGAAGGACTGGTTTTTTGCTGCCAGTATATTAGGCTGATAAGCTCAAGTTCAGACACAGTCTAGCTATGCAACCCCCAGAGGCAGGTGCCAGGGAGGAGGAAAGGAACAGAGGTGAGCTGTACAAAATGCAATAAATTGAGGGTCAGGAGACCCGTGCTCTCTTTCTGAGTGTGGAACTAACTCACCAGTTGTCTTGCGCAAGTCCTTTTATTTCTGTGGATCTGAGTCTTTATCCATAAAATACAGTGACTGAAGTAGATAATCTTTAAGGTTACTTCTAAAAGTTGCATTCTGTGTTAATGAAATAGAATATGGTGATTAAGCCCAGACTCTGGCATCAGATAGACCTGCGTTTGAGTCCATGCTTTCTCTTTACTGCAAGATCTATGATCTCAGAATGTTTTATAACTTCTCCAAATCTTAGTTTCCCATATAAAACATAGAGATAGTAATAATAGCTACCTCATAGTGATTTTGTGAAAATTAAATAAGATAGTATATAGAAAATATTTAACACAGCACCTGGTTCATGCTGAATACAACTTAACTTTGCTGGATGTTATTTTATGATCAGGTTGTTATTCCACAACAGTGTCATCATCAGAACAGAATTGGGGACAGTGGATGAGAATTGGGAGCAACACACTCAATGCTCCTGAATTAGGTCAGGTGATAAAAATTCAGCCTATTAGGCTCTGACCACGTGCCAGCCCAGGAGGAACACACGGAGAAAGATAAAACTTTAGAGGAGGTCTTAACAGACAAGTGATGTACGTGATTACAATCCATGAGTATAGGACAGTGAAGACACAGCTGCTTCAAAACCTGGGTTCTGCATTTTATGGTTTATAAGGAATTTTCACATACAGTATCTCATTTTAATACTCTACCCGCCGTGAGTTAGTCAGGCTTGGGAAAATTTTTCAGTGACTTGTCCCAGATTATGTACACATCTAAAAAGTATTAGAACCACAACTGAAACCTATGATGTGAAATTTAGTACTGCTTCCTACTGTACCTAATCCGACATAAATAATATCACTATCGTGATACCAAAAATAAATGGTTTAGACAGTCAAGAAGGGCAACACTGATATTTATGCTATGGGTATGTATAAATTTCACAGAACTTATTTTGGAAAAAAAGATATACAAGATGTAAGGAATAAGTTCAAAGAGTTATTTTTTTATCTCACTGGGGGGCAAGGATTTAAAAACACAATTGCTCCAGTTAACACTTAAAAGCAGGAAGTGCATAGATCTGTTTGATGTGTAAATCACTATTGTGTATCAAGCATTAGTTTAAAATCTTTCATATTCTTTTTGAATTTCAGCAACTGGACCTTCATTCCTGCCCCAAGCCGACTGTTTTCATCATTCATTCCTTCCTGTCAGCTAAGATTACAAGGCTGGGGTTGGTGGCCTGAACAGAGGAGCGAATTGCCTTTGAGAAAAGGAGGGCTGCGATGCCACCGAAAAGTGTCATATCAGACACCATTTGCAGTGATGCACCAGATGTAGCATGCCACTGTCAGCTCTGGATCCCAAGAGTCCTGTGTAACAGTCCCAGACTCCTCTGTCAATTTCAGCAACTATAAAGGGTACCTTCAGAAAAATTCCACAAGGACTATCAGAATGAAACTGTTGTTTTAGAACAGTAAAAGGGTAAAGAGGTGAGGCTGATTGGAAATACACAGCATAGCTTTTAAATAATGACAGTCAAGGACATGAACATTAGAACAGCATGTGCAGATCTTAATCATACCAGTTTCTAGGCAACTGGTTCACCCAGGTAAGCAAGGGCTGTATAGATGAGAAATGGACATTTTCCACCTCTCCCCTCCCCACCCCTTGTTTTATTGCGCTTTATTTCCTATTTCTAATTGAGTTGACTTTCGCTGCTAAGGAAAGAAAAGTACTTCCAATGGAAACCCACCTTTTATTTAAGTGTGAAACAGCTGTTACTTTTTCTTAATGAATTATCTTTCAATGATGTAGAATGATTCTGAAGTGTTCTGATTAGCATACGATGAGTGGGAATTAAATAAAGCATCAGATACTGATCTGAGCTGTAAGCTGGTGGATTCTGAGCCAAAGTAGACTGCTTAAATTGCAAAGCTTTGCTGAAGAGTGGTGTGCGTGAAAGATGATTAATTCTGGGACTACACTCATACCCAAGGTCTGCTGTCTTAGAGCCATGACTTATAGCTTTATTTATAAAAGCAAATTATGGATTTTTTTAAAAGATTGTCAATGGATATATATATATACAATAATTCATGCGGGGTTAACTAATTTTCCCCGTCTTGTGGTTTTCAGTGGAAGTACTCAGCAATTTATTGGCCCTTGTTTCTGCCTGTGCTTGTATGCATGCATTTTCAAGCAAGTAATAGAGCAGCCTTATATGATTCTGGTTAATGCTGGGTTTTACATAGAGAGCCAATGTTATAATCAAACCCATCAAACCCATCAACAGCTCTTTTGGAATTCCAGGGAAATAATATAATGACCTGATATTTTTCTACAAGAATATTCTCAGACATCGTATAGCATGTTACTGATTTAACACTTTTGCTTTTAGCTTTCAAAACAAATTCACTGAAAACACACCTATTATTTTATTTTAAAGTCACTTTTCTCAAATCTTGAAAATTAGCTCTAGAATTTCTGTATTTGTAACTGTTCTCTCCCCTATAGTTTTACATAGACAAATGTTCCAGGTTAGGTTTGTGTGTTATTTTTCAGAACCGTATTTTAGCAAATACCTATGCAAAGAGCTTTAAAAAGTAAAACTGTTTTAAAAGAATGTGATTTTGTTCACTCAGATACATGTGTTTCTTGAGTTTTACTTTAGATCAGCATTTTATTTTAGATCAGTGTTTCCCCAAAGTAATACAAGTAACAGGTAATACAAGTTCCAAGGGGCACTGATTGACTGTGTTTTGTCGGGGGGCAATTAAAGGGATTGGTCATCAAAAATGTTTGTTCAGGGCTTCCCTGGTGGCGCAGTGGTTGAGAGTCCGCCTGCCGATGCAGGGGATACGGGTTGGTGCCCCGGTCTGGGAAGTTCCCACATGCCGCGGAGCGGCTGGGCCAATGAGCCATGGCCGCTGAGCCTGCGCGTCCGGAGCCTGTTGCTCCGCAATGGGAGAGGCCACAACAGTGAGAGGCCCGCGTACAGAAGGAAAAAAAAAAAAAAAAGTTTGTTTGTTCAATACTGAGTTAAAAAAATGTTAAGCAGATTTCATGATTGCAGTCCTCCTCAAAGACTTTATTGCACATTGCAGTTCTGCACGGGGGGGGGGCATCCTGTGTGCCATTCATTCCTAACGCTTACCTACAGAACTCCTCTCTAAAGGAGCATCTTGTGAAGCTAGTGTTAAAACACACACACACAAAACAAAACAAAAAATACATTTTGGAAAACACAGCTTTAGGACACTGATTTGTTTTGTTTCCTATTTTAAAATGCTAAAGAGTGAAGTCCCAGCCTGAATATTGTAGGAAAGCTTTGATGAATTGTAAACTGTAACGTACTCTTTCATTATATATTTTCAAAATCACTGGAATGTTGTTATACGAGCGAATTATATTTGTGTATTGTAAATAACATTAAAATACATATATTAATACCAATAGCTTAATTCAACAATGTGTAATCTAAGGTGCTCAGTACTACATGAAGTGTGAGTTAATTACTCATAATTTAGTTGCAGAGATCCTATATTTATAGACAAAATGATAATTACAAATACTATTTCTTCATCACTTGAGTTTTGGACTGATTAATATCTGGATGCAGGTCAACAGAAACTACATTTTCCGTGTTTATAAAAGTTTAATTTAAATATTTATATTTTAGAAAAATATATTTGAATAAAGTTAATGCATTTTCTGAATTAAGATGTGTTATTAGCAAGAAGTAGAAAACTTTACTAAGAGAATTGTGTATATAAATCATTTTTCTTCCTCAAAGTTAAATTGTATCGTATCAGAGTGGCTATGATGAATCAATTTAAATACTCATTTTTTCTCATTCTGAATTCAACAGGTTATAAGTTTACACTGTAGATTTAATCTTGCTGATGTGTGTTATGAATGTTGTGAATAACACAAACTCATACATCTGGATCGTGCGTGGGTACGGTTAGCAAATCAACTGAGTGATTTTGGGGGGTTTGTTTTTGTCCAGTTTCCTCTGTGCTCAATCTGTTTCTTATTTGAATTGATGAATTATTAAACTCACAATGTCTATCCTTTTAGGGGCAGACCAACACCAATGAATGATGTCGTAATCTATATTTTGTGGGAAGCTGCCCATTTGTTAGATGTGATTAGGTGAGCCCTTTGGTGTGGTGACATATCTTTAAACCATCCCATTGGAATTTAAAGAAAGCCAACAGGAAGATTGCTATCAATTTTTTTTTCTGACTTGAATTAAGCAGGAGGAACAAAACTATAAACCTATTCAAAAAAACACTCAGGCAGAGACATTTCATTAATTCTATCAATTGATGCATTAAAATGCTGAAAAATGCATGTTTCTTTATCCAAATGCTTGTTGACCCTGCTTGGTTGAAGTCAGGAGGAGGTCTTAATGGGCAGGATTCTTCTGAAATTAATGAGCAGGGCCTTTCTGGCCCCTGTTACAAATACTGGATACTCTATCTTGACGGGATTGGAGTAGACTGGGGTAAGGGAGTAATTTTTGAATGTACCATGAGTTAAAAAAAAAATGTGCCTATGTTTATAGCACTATGGATATCATGTAAAATTGATATATGAATTAAATAAATATTCATCTCTGAATATGGTGGGCTGGCTGGTGGTTTCCTAATAGCCACAGAGGGATATGGGTGTGTAAAGACACATCCTGTTAGTCTGTGCCTCCAAGACTAGCCTTGAAAGGTGCTAGTGGGTGGAGGTGAGGGGATGATGCGACTAGCAAATTTTTTGTGTGTTTTTGTGTGTATAGTTCCAGGATGGGTCTTCACCGGGGGCTTAGGGCTTTCAACTCTCATTTTAACTAAATTTTCATGGGATTTTACCTGTACACCAAGCTCCAAAAACTCAAATTCTCTGTGGAACTTGGTTCGTGTCTAAGTTACTTGTAATAAATGTAACAGGCTGGGGTTGAGAAGTCTTCTGCTATTTGAAAATTTAGTAGTATTGAGATTTAGAACTGTAGAATCTGTTTTGAAGAGACTTCAGAGGCCATCAAGCACATTATTGCTCAAAGTTTACCTATAATTTTAGCAATACTACCTTAGTATTGATATTTTAGGAGATGGAATTTGCTAGTAATATAGAAACATGGTGTATACATATAAAAATGAATGTACACCAATTATAATTTTTGGAAAAATCTGTACCACCACCACATACACTATAATCCAAGTACTACGTTTTGAGAAACATTGACCTTGTAGCATATGCCACTAAATTCAGGAATCTCTTTCTGAACATCCCTTGTACTTGTTCATTCCACCTGAAATTGAAAAATTTCAGATATGCGGAGGAGGCTCCTTATCTCCTGAGGCCAGCCATCCCATTGCCGGATGGCTAGAGTTGTTAGAAAGTTCTTACACTCGTAGAGCCAAAACTTATCGTCTGTGTCAATTTTAGTCATCACCCTGTTCTACTCTAGAAAACACTGAAAGTCCAATCTCTTTTCCACGTGAGTGTCCTGTATAAAAGACAAATCAAGGCTGGGGGCTCCTAGGTAATATAAAATGATCTGAAAATGGTTTTAAATAGGATATTTAAACTTCCTCGTTTTTATCTTTAAAGAACCAATTGGCCAAGATTAAAGCTTCCACAATACTTAGTGGTGGGAAGTGATGGGAAAACAGGCATTTATACACCAACTAGTAGGTATATATTTGGCAATAATTTGGAGGGCAATTTTGCAATATCTATAAAAATTTACACATACATGTACCTTTTGACTTATGGGAATTTGTCCTACAGATATATTACAGAAGTGCACAAAGGCTAACGTATAAAGATCACCTTTGCATCAACATTCGTAACAAGAAGCTGAAAAGGTCCACGTGACCGTCGATAGAGCTAAATAAATCATGGCTCACCGATGCATCAGAATATTCTGCAGGTGTTACAAAGAATGGTCCATCTAATATGGACAAAATTTCTAAATGCAAGATCTGAAAAATGCAGATATAGATATAGATTTGTAGATATATAGTCCATCTGTTCTTTAAAAAGAAATGGTTCTCAAGAAGAATGGTACTGCGGGGCATTTGGAAGTCTGTGCTAGTGTTGTTGTCACAATGATGGGGCTGGGGCGGGGGAAGGGGTGCAGGAGTACGACGCTATCAGTTTGATGAACAAGAGCCAGGGTTGGTTAGATTCCCTGCAATGTGACGACAGTCCTCACATCCAATAGAACCATTTCCCACACAATTTTTGTGCCTGCTGAGTTAGGTAGAAAACACGTATAATGATCTGAGCCTAGACCTGACTACATTTTACAAATGAAAACATTTTTTGACTGATTCAATATATTCTGAATTTTCTAGGTATACAACTACCATGCATATGGAAGAAAGGTTGTGTTTTTGTTTTGCTCAGGGCATTTTATAAAACATTTTATAAAAACAAGTCACTGGTAGCAAGTGTGTTTGTGGTACTTGAGTCAAACAGATGACGGCTAGCTATTAAATGTGCCTCATTCATGCTGAATCCAACTAAAAGTCAAATATCTGACTATTTCATTTCAGTGTAGTAGTACCCCAGCTTCTCCATACTGAAATGCATATTATTTTATTATCATAAATCTTTTCCAATACTTCTTTACAATTAGACGATATCAATTAAAAAAAAACTTTCTGAGTGCATGTAGGTTAGATTACTCTACTAGGCACATCCTGTGTATCTCCTCAGATTCCCTCAATGCGATTGGCTGGTCTCCCAGACTTTTCAGCTGCTTATTCAACTTCAGGCATCACCACAGACAGCTCTGCTTGACCTAAGTGTTTCTGCCACTTAGAGCCAATCCATTGCTTGCCTGGAAACGCTGCTTCCCCTGACCTCTCCCCTGGGCTGCTGCCAGGCAGCCAGGCTAAGGAGAGACATACTTGCATTTCTGGGTTCTGTCATCAATGCCAGACTTGGATGAAAAGCCACTCGGAAGGCCTAGGAACTGGTGTCCTGAGCAGCTGCTAAAGGTGATGACCTGAGCAACCCTGATCTGTAGGCGATTTACTGAAACCTCTGTGGAGCCAAATGGGAGATAATCATAAGAAGGAGCTGAGCAGATAATCTTCCTCTGCCTCCTTCCTGTGGACCCTCCATGCACCGTATATCCTGAGGGGCATCCCATGTGACTGCACACCTGCCAGGTGACTGGCTGTGTCTCTCTGGGCTTCATGAAGCAGCAGCCAGTGTCATCATG